GTGCTGGATTTTATCAAATATTTTTCTGCATCTATTGATATAATTAGGTTTTTATCCTTCATCTTATTTATGTGGTCTATCATGCTTATTGATTTACAGATATTGTACCAACCTTGCATCCCCAGAATAAATCCTATTTGATCAAGGTGTATGATCTTTTTAATGTATTACTGGAACCAGTTTGCTAAAATTTTGTTGAGGATTTTAATATCTATGTTCATCAGGGATATTGGCCTATAATTCTTTCCTTGTAGTGCCTTTATATGGTTTTGGAATCACGATGATGCTGGCCTCATAAAATAAGCTTGGAAGTCTTGCCTCCTCTTGAATTATTGTAATAATTGGAGAAGGATAGATGTTACTTCTTTTCTGAATGTTTGGAAAAATTTACCTGTGAAGCCATCCAGTTCAGGACTTGTATTGGGAGTTTTAGGTTACTGCTTCAATTACTGTCTATTCAGGTTCTCTGATTCTTTCTTATTTGGTGTTGGAAAATTGTATTTTCCTAGGAGGTTTTTCCTTTTGCCCAGATTGTCCAATAGTTAGCATACAGTTGTTCAGATTTTCTTATAATCCTTTGTATTTTTAAAAAAATTATTCTAGAGAGATAAAAGGGAGAGAAACATTATTGCTCCATCCAACTATACATTCATTGGTTAATTCTTGCCCTGACCATGGATCAAATCCACAACTTGGTACACTGGGACAACACTCCCAACTAATTTAACTACCTGGTCAGGGCCCTTTGTATTTCTTTGGTGTCAGTTGTTACTTTTCTTTCATTTCTGATTTTTGGGGTCCTCTCTTTTTTTCTCGGTAAGTCTGGTTAAAGGCTTGTCGATCAAGCCCTGGCCAGGTTGGCTCAGTGTTTAGAGTACTGGCTTGTGGACCAAAGGGTCACTGGTTTGATCCCCGGTCAAGGACATGTACCTGTGTTGCAGTTTTGATCCCTGGGAGCAGCCAGGACTTGTGCGGAAGGAAACCAATCGATGTGTCTCTCTTTCCCTCCCTCCCTTGCACTTCCTCTAAAACAGATTCTCAGTCCCTTGCTCTCTTCTTCTTCTTGCGGATGTTGTTATGCTTCTTGTTTTCCCAATGGTCCCTTAAACTATCCTTTTTTTAAAATATATTTTATTGATTTTTTTACAGAGAGGAAGGAGAGGGATAGAGAGTTAGAAATATCGATGAGAGAGAAACATCGATCAGCTGCCTCCTGCACACTCACTACTGGAGATATGCCTGCAACCAAGGTACATGCCCTTGACTGGAATCGAACCTGGGACCCATGAGTCCACAGGCCAACGCTCTATCCACTGAGCCAAACCGGTTAGGGCTATTCATTTTTTTATTTGAAAAAATACCCTTAGGTGAGGATTAACAACAACAACAAAAAGGCTTGTCAATCTTATCTTTCCAACGAACCTTCTCTTGGTTTTATTAATCTTTTGTATATTTTTTAGACTATTTTTTAATTCGTGCTTGGATCTTTATCATTTCTTTCCTTCTACTCACTTTGGGCTTTTTTCACTGTTTCTCATAAATACTGGGTTATTGTATTCTCATTTTCATTTGTTTCAAAGTATCTTTTGATTTCTTCCTTGATAGCATTAACTCGCTCATTGTTTAAGAACATGTTATTTACCTCCATGTCTTTGTGTGTTTTTCAGATTTTTCTTGTAATTGCTTTCTAGGTTCATAGCCTTATGGTCAGAAAAGATGCTTGATCTGATTTGAACCTTTTTAAATTTACTGAGACTTGTTTTGTGTCCTATCATGTGGTCTATCCTAGAAAATGTTTCATGTGCATTTTAAAAGAATATATATATATATTGAATGAATATATATAATGAATATATATATATACATATATATATATATATATATGTATATATATATATTCATTCTGCTGCTTTGGGTGAAATGCTCTCAAGATTTCAATTAAATCTGACCGATCTAATGTGCTATTTGAAGCCACAATCCATTCCCTACTATGACTGTTGATCTCTCCATTTATATCCATTAAGATCTGCTTTACATATTTAGGTGCTCCTATGTTGGGTGCATAAATGTTTACCAGGGTTATATCCTCTTGTTAGATTTCTCTCTTTATCATTATGCATTGTCGTTCTTTGTCTCTTACTATACCAATTTAAAGACTCTTTTGTCTGATATGTGTTACCCCAGCTTTTATTTTGCATTTTCATTTGCATGAAATATTTTTCCATCTTTTTACTTTTAGTCTACATTTTTCATTCTGAAGTGGGTCTTTTGTAGACAGCATATATATGGGTTTTGTTTTCTTATCCATTCAGGTACACTATGTTGTTGTGTGTTTTTTTATTGGAGCACTTATACCACTTACATTTAAAGTGATTACTGACAGATATGTATTTATTGCTATTTTTTTACTAAGTTGTTGGGTTTTCTCTTATTATTTTTTCTTTATTGATTAAGGTATTACATATGTCCTTATCTCCTATTGCCCCCCCACCCCACTCCCATTCATGCCCTCACCGCCCCGCACCCCCCCACCCCCGGTGTCTGCATCCATTGGTTATGCTTATATGCATGCATACAAGTCCTTTGATTGATCTCTCCCCCACCCTCCCCTACCTTCCCTCTAAGGTTTGAGCATCTGCTCCATGCTTCTCTGTCTCTGGATCTGTTTTTGTTCATCAGTTTATGTTGTTCATTATAATCCACAAATGAGTGAGATCATGTGATATTTATCTTTCTCTGACTGACTTCTTTCGCTTAGCATAATGCTCTCCAGCTCCATCCAAGCTGCTGCAAATGGTAGGAGTTTCTTCCTTTTTACAGCAACATAGTATTCCATTGTGTAGATGCACCGTGGTTTTTTAATCCACTCATCTGCTGAAGGGCATTTAGGCTGTTTCTAAATCTTAGCTATTGTAAATTGTGCTGCTATGAACATAGGGGTGCATATATCCTTTCTGATTGGTGTTTCTAGTTTCTTGGGATATATTCCCAGAAGTGGGATCAATGGATCAAATGGGAGTTCCATCTTTAGGGGTTTTTTTTGAGGAAACTCCATACTGTTCTCAACAGTGGCTGTACCAGTCTGCATTCCCACCATCAGTGCACGAGGGTTCCTTTTCTCCACATCCTCGCCAGCACTTGTCATTTGTTGATTTGTTGATAACCATTCTGACAGGTGTGAGATGATACCTCACTGTTGTTTTGATTTGCATGTCTCGGATGATTAGTGAGTTTGAGCATGTTTTCATATGTCTCTTGGCCTTCTGTATGTCCTCTTTCAAAAAGTATCTATTTAGGTCCATTGCCCATTTTTTGATTGGGTTGTTTATCTTCCTTTTGTTAAGTTGTATGAGTTCCCTGTAAATGTTGGAGATTAAACCCTTATCGGAGATAACATTGGCAAATATGTTCTCCCATGTAGTAGGCTTTCTTGTTGTTTTGTTGATGGTTTCTTTTGCTGTGCAGAGCTCTTTATTTTGATGTAGTCTCATTTGTCTATTTTCTCTTTAGTTTCCATTGTCCTGGGAGCTGTATCGGTGAAGATACTGCTTCGGCATATATCTGAGATTTTGCTGCCTGTGGATACTCTTATTATTTTTTTAAATCTCACCAGAGAATATGATTTTTATTGATTTTAGAGAGAGAGGAGAAGGGAAGAAGGGTAAGGGGGAGAGAGGGGGGAAGGGGGGAAGAGAGAGAGAGAGAGAAACATCAATGTGAGAGAAACATCTATCAGTTGCCTCCTATATGTGTGTATGTGCCTACGATTGAACCAAGAACCTTGGGTGTACACAATGACACTCCAAACAACTGAGGCATCCAGCCAAGGGCTGCCTCTTCTTCTTGATGCAGGCACTTTCACATTTCTTGTAATACTGGTTTGGTGGTAAGACATTCTTTAGCTTTTTCTCGTCTGGGAAGCCTTTAATTTCTCCTTCAATATTAAATGATAGCCTTGCTGACTAATGCAGTCTTGGCTGTAGTTCCTTACTTTTCTTCACTTTGACTGTTTCATGCTAATCCCTTCCAGTGTGAAATGTTTCTGTTGAGAAATCAGCTGACAGACTTATGGGAGCACCTCATAACTGCCTCTTACTGCTTTTAAGATTCTCTTTGTCTTTAATGTTTGCCATTTTAGTTATGTCTTGGTGTAGGCCTCTTTGGATCCCTCTTGTTTGGGGTTCTGTGCACTTACTGGACTTGTATCTTTTTTCTTCACCAGGTTAAGGAAGTTTTGGTCATTATTTCTTCAAATAGATTCTCAATCCCTTGCTCTCTCTCTTCTTCTGGTACCCCTATCACAAGGATGTTATGCTTCATGTATTCCCAATGGTCCCTTAACCTATTCTTTACATTTTTGCTACTCTGATTGGGTATTTTTTTTCTTCCTTGTGTTGAAAATCGCTGATTCAATCCTCTGCTTCATCCAACCTGTATTTCTTCCAGTGTATTCAGTTCTGGTATTGTATTCTTCATTTCTGATTGGTCCTTTTTTTATGGTTTATCTTTTTCCATGCTTTGAGCAACCTGTAACCATTAGCCTGAACTCTATATCTGATAAATTGCCTCCCTCTGTTTCATTTAGCTATTTTTCTGGAGATTTCCTTGTTCTTTAATTTGGGGCCTGTTTCTTTGTCTTCCCAGTTTAGCTGCCTTTGTTTGTTTTGTACTAGATAGATTTGTTATGACTCCCAGTCTTCATGGGGTGGCCTTTATGTAGTAGGTGTTCTGTGGGGATCACGGGTGCCGTGTTCTTGACACCTGACCTGGGTGGTCCAGGACTGTTCCTTGTATCAGTTGTGTGGGCCCTCCTGTGGTAATTGCGTCTTGAGTGCTGTTGACTTATTTGTGCATGGCATTGACCTGAGGCTCAAGTCTGATCACAGGTGCTGACCACATGAAGTGAAATTTGCCTCTACAGTGTCTGGTACCTACCAATACCTCTCTGTGGATATGCTGCTTATGAAGCTTCTTGGGTACTGCTCTGATGTTGTCTGAAGCTCGTGGCTCTCTTTGCGGTCTCTCACGGGGAAGATCTTCTGGTCAGGCGCTCCGAACTCATCTACTCAGGGAAGCTGATTCGAGTTACACAGCCACAAGCCAAGAGCCAGCAGAGGATGTTTTTTCTCTTTGACCACCAACTCATCTACTGTAAGAAGGTACAGTAAGAAGGTCTCTCTTTCCTGCTGGACAGCCTATTTAGAGCAGAAATGGAGAAAGTGAAGCTAAGGGCTAGAAGCAGCTGCCCAGAGAAAAGATGACACACACAGGGCACCTTTTTTCCCAGAGCCTTCAGTATGGCAGGCCTTCCCTGGTCTTGCCCTTAGGGCCAGGATGACAGTGGGAGAGTGAGTAGCCCAGGGACTATGGGGTGGCCCTCGCAGCCTGACCAGGGCCCAGTACTATAAGAACACCCTCCTCTCTGAACAAAACCCAGCTTCCCCTCCCTAGCCCTGGAGTCTTCTGCTCCAGTAGCTTTCCTACCTCCTCTGTGCTGCTAGCTCTACTTCTCTTTTAAAACATTGCTAAGAAACTCTATCCAGAAGCCCTCCTGACAACTGACTTGGCCCAGGTATACCTGGTGCTCATCTCTGCTGTGGTATGGACCCTGGCTCACTATCTGTATCCATGGCTGCTTGCCCACAAAACTACAGGTGCCTTTAAAGACCCTCAGTCTAGCCAATAACTTAACTAAAGGAGTGAGGCTCTTCATCATAGATTTGGCACATAATTGGGGGCTGTACTAGGCTCACTATGCCCTTGTGAGCTCATCCTCTGCTAGGGAGGTAGGTGTGTGGCCCATCAGCCCTTCCAGTTACAGGACAGTGAGTGACGCAGGGTCTTAGAGATAGTCAGGAGAGCAGTTCAAAGTTTGGGGAGGGATCCAACAAGCAGGCTGGGCTGGCAGCTCACGGTGCCTCTGGCAGGACCTTCTACACCAGGATGTGCTGTATTATAAGGGCCGAGTGGACATGGATAGCTTAGAGGTAGTGGATCTAGAGTACTGGAAGGATAAAGACCTCCACATGAGCATCAAGAATGCCTTCCAACTGCACTATGGAACCATGGGAGAGAGCTACCTGCTGTGTGCCAGGAAGCCTGCAGAAGCAGTGCTGGCTCAAAGCCTTTGCCAGGGAGAGGGAGCAGGTGTGGCTGGACCAGAAGACAGATGAAATACCCCCTCTCAACTTTGCTGCACTGCAAGGGCCCACCAGGCCTCCTTACCCTGGAATGCAAGGTCAGGACAACCATTGACTGGGACTGCATGTCTCATAGACCAAGGATCTCAGGGTTTGGTGAGGCTCCAGGGTCTCTTGATTTCAGCCCCAGGGAATGGTTCTGCTGGCCTTTTGTGGGGGGAGGGGTTGCTTCCAACACACGTATACTCAAGTGTGCTCAGTTGCAGGGATAACACTGGAGTGGGAGGTGGGACTGACCTCCAGAAGCCTGTCCCATCCCCATATGAGCAGGGTATCTCCCCACCACATTCCCCTCCTGTCCATGTGCCCCTTGTCCTCATACTCAGCAGTGACCAGATTGGCTGTTGGCTTGGGAAAAGCCTCTGGTGAAAGATGGGGTAGGGCCAGGGGAGAATGTGGGGAGGGCTCTGAGAAGGGCACCAGGAGGAGCACCTTGGCTCTATCTGGAGCCAAGGCCAGCTGGCTGAGCAGGACACAGCCCCTGCAGCATGATGAGCCCTGTGCACTGTAGAACGAGTATGGTACACAGAGGACTGCTCCATGGCCAGGAAGCATAGGACAAAAGGACTGTGGGCAGGGGCGGAGGGGAAAGTAGAAGAGCAGCAAAGTCCTGGCAGGGAAGCAGGTATCTCATTTGTGCCCCTCGCTCCCAGGCTTCTCCATCACTAAGCTGCAGAGGGAGCAGGCCATGCTGAATGCCAGCAAGCAGCAGGCACCCAGGAAGCCCAAAGGTAAGCAGGTGGTAGTCCCATATCCACTTTAGCAGCCTAGTCCTGATCAAACCCTTCTCTGACACCCAAGACAAAGTGAGCTAGCACCTAGGTCCTCAGTTACTCATTGCCCTTTGCAGGTGTTTGTTCCCAAAGGCTGGTGATAAGGGGTCATCACTGATGAAACTTATGTCAGTATGCATTTGGAATTCTTGCTCTCCATCACCTCAGACAACCCTGCCCCCAAGCAATACCATTAGTAATAGTGACAGTGCTCACTTCCTCAGGCCTGCTTTGTGGCAGTCATCCTCACAGCCACCTTACATCCCCATTCCCACAGAGGCACTGAAACTGCCTTGCACAGAGCCTGTGCCATGGAGAAGCTGCAGGGCCTCACACCTTCCAGGTCCCTTAGCCCTCATCTCTGCACACTACAAGAGGGTGGCTCAGGCTCCTGGGTGTAATAACCCCACTGGAAGCAAGTTCCCTACCATGGGAGTCTGAGGCAGAGCCTTGGGACAGGTCCCATGCTACCACCCCACAGCAGAGGATGCCATTCTGCCCTGTACTAATGACTCTCTAGGCATTTATATAACCCCTTCTGTCTCCTTACCCAGCCCTCAGACAGCCCTGCTACCTGATGCACCAAGAGCACCTGACATTGCTAACCAGCCTGCCCCAGCAACAGGTCTTGGTGATGGAAGAGCCCAAGTAGAAGCCATCCACCTTCTGGTATAGCATTAGCGGCTGGCACCCTTCCCCAAGTGAGCCTATTCCCCACCAACAGCACTGTCTTGGCCTGCTCTGCCAGCTAGTCTCCAGCTTTCCCTCCCCAAGGTTCACCCATGGCTTCCGGCCCTCCTCTGCCTACTCTGCAAACTGGAAGTGAGCAGGGCTGAGCAAGGAAATGGCTTGGAGTCACCAGTTCGTACCAGGCTCTGCACCTATTCTTGGTTCTTCCTCACTACTGATGCACTACATACACAAGCTGGAGGGGCAGGAGACCCACAGCACAGGAGCGCCTCCTGCCACCCTCCCTACCTTTGTGGGGCCTCCTGGAAACTACAGCTGAGAACCATCAGCAAGATGGACATGTGTAAAAGGACTGACTACTTTAGACTCTCTTCTTCATACATCTAATCATTCCTCCTCCTGTTTTCTCTGGGCAGGAGGAGGCTGTCTGCCTTCCACCACTTGGAAAACTGGACTGTGTGCCCCTCTGCCCTCCAATTCTCCTTGCAGGCCTCCAGCTGATGGTGCCAGGCAGCTGACATCTCTGGAGGGTGGGAACCGGGTATTCTGCATATGGCCCCAGAGCCCATCCATTTTGTCTCCCAGTTCCTCTCTAGACACTCTCTTCATTTGTAATGTGTTTATAATCAACTGCAAACTTCTATCAGGGTATGTCCACATGTAGCTGTGTGTTGACTCCAGAACCTGGTTCCATTTTTTTTTGTTTGTATTTTGTTTTTCAAAATGGAGAAAAAGAATTGTTAGTGACACAGGAAGATTGCCTTACTCTAAGTGAGCATGAGAAGCCATAAGGACTGAGTTCTATAGCCCAGCATGCAGGACTGACCTGTCCACCCAGAAGCCAGTGAGTATGTGGGTGGGAGGGGTAAGCCTACATCCCACCCCAAGGAAGGGTGCCCATGAGTACATCCAGGGCCTGGCTTGTGGGTGCAAAGTGCCAAGCAGCCCCTCTGGCCCATGGGAATTCAGCAGCATGTAGTCACTTGCACTACTCTACCTTCTCCAAGCCAAACATTACATTTAATTTCATAAAAAAAAACTTATAAAAAATAAACTGGCTGCCAGCCCTTGTTTTCAATGGATGTCTATGCATTTTCTCCTCTGTATGCCCACCTTTCCTTAACCTGGAGTAAATAATCCCAGTAGCACCCAGAATTGGGAGTAGGGCCTCACCTAGTTGAGCTCATGCCTCACGGTTTTAGTGAAAAGAGGCTAAAGTGGCTAGGCTAACTACTTGAAAGAGGCTCAGGGCCACTGGGAGCTGTCCAAGTGAGGTCTGGCTGGCTCAGCCGCTCTCCCCCCTTAGGGCCTAGAAGCCCACTCCCTTCCTGACTGCTCTCAGAGTTTATATTTAGCTGAAATTAGCAAATGTGTTAGGGGAACAGGCAGTCCATAATCTTTCTGTGTCCCAGCATCTTCCTTAATGAAAGGGGGAAGAATGTGTCTTCCCAGGAGGACCTGAGCTACAGGACCAGAAGAAGAGGAATGAGGGTGGCTTTCCTCCCCCTTCCCACCTAGGGAAACAGTCCTCACAACCTGTGGCCTCCACAAACCCTTACACACTGCCAAGGTCAAGAGTACCTGGGAAGGAGCTGAGCACTACAGGGCTTTTGCTCGAAACCACTGGATTTCCTAACTTTAGAGAAACTACACCACCTCCAAGGCAGGTAAACCACCTTGAGACAAAACCTACAGGGAAAAATCATGAAAACCATAATATGCAACACAAGTCAATCTTTATTCAAAACTGCAGTGTTAATACATAGCTCTTGTTACAATAAACGTGCTTTTAATATTTTTAAATCTAAGCTCATCTACTTATCAGATTGCCTAAGAAATTAAAATAGTATGAATTTACAGACAATAGAACTAGATCAGGATGGACATTCCATTCCTTTGTATTGATTGGCATCTAAGTTCAATGCAGAGGTGAGGGATGCCTTTAACACTGGAAGACAATGCTGACGTAAATTTAAAAATGTACCAAGAGAACAGTCTAAAAAACAGTATTTAGAAATGATTTTTAAAAATTTTTTTAAAGGAACCATTTCCTGGTCAGTCACAACCTATGTGGCTCCTTGGTGCCTCTCCTTCAAGTGGCTGTCAGAACAATCCTGCAGGTGCACAAGAGTGCTGGCCTCAGATCCAGTTTGACTATTCACTCATCTACACAAGGACCTGGGGAGACTCCAACAGGGCTCAGGAGGCAGAGATGAGCTGCCTATCATCTCCAACATACAAATCCTGGAGAATACCATCTCCCATAGTTCATTCGGGTTCCCTGGATAGAGATGTCCACATCTCCTCTGTCATTGTCCCAAGTGAGTTGACTTTAGTCCTGGGGACTTTTATAAAGTGATGACATCCACAGGTTTTCTGTTCAAGTGAATAGAGTGGATAAAGAGATAAAGTCTCTGAAACATCTAAGATCAACTTGTAACTTTCTACCTGAAAAGATCAGACCCTCCTCTGAAGCATGTCATTTGCAGTCTGCTCAAGTCAGATGGACACACACACACATACTTGAGCCAACCACATTCCTATTTATAGATTATCCCCATTCCATAGAAGCACCATAGAAGGACCAGAAGTTGCCTCTCACCTCAAGCCATGCATCCTTAAACCACCCTTGCAACCAATGGAGGGTGTCAGACAGATGTCCTGTCCTGTATGGGCAATGCTCAGGCTAGCAATGACTGAGGTGCCCAGCTGCCAGATGGAGAGAAGGTGGCCTAACTGGTCCGAGTAATACTGTTTCCAAAGGACAGGAGAAATTTGGGTTTCCTTCTTAAAGCAGGCTCCACTACTGATGTGGCCTGTGTTTACCACCCTTCCACAATCAATCACTGGCAGGCACACTCACAGAAACCCACATAAAGGAACGACATTGCCAGATATTTGCATATCCAAAGTGCCTTAAGAATATATTTCCTCTCATTATTAAAGTCTCATTATGATGCTACCCTAGAGAGCCAGGCATTGTCTGCCCAGCTTGGCAAGGACAGGATGCTTAATAACCAGGTGCCCATCCCAAGCCTTAGGACCTTCCTCAATCTCCTGTAAACACTATGTTTGCTTTGTACACAAGAAAGTCACAGAATAGCAACTGGTAAGTCTAATAACCACACCAACAAGAAGGCTCTGTAAAGATTTATCATAAGAAACATAAAAGGTTCTGGAAGTACCTATGTGCCTGTTTTATCACAAATGGCCCTGGCCCTGATGTTATCCTCCCTTCTCAGAGGCAGCAAGTTAATGGGATTATGGCTTGCTCATTGCTAAGCACTCAGTCATCCAGTCCAGAGCATTTCCATAAGCAGAGAAACGGACCTCCTAAACTTTAGGAAAGAGGCTGTAAAAACAAAACAAATTAAATATCCATGATGCCGAGACCGGTTTGGCTCAGTGGATAGAGCGTCGGCCTGCGGACTGAAGGGTCCCGGGTTCGATTCCGGTCGGGGGCATATACCTGGGTTGTGGGCATATCCCCAGTGGGGGATGTGCAGGAGGCAGCTGGTCGATGTTTCTCTCTCATCGATGTTTCTAACTATCTCTCTCTCCCTTCCTCTCTGTAAAAAATCAATAAAATATATTTAAAAAAAAAAAAAAACTTTAAAAAAAAAATAAAAAAATAAATATCCATGATGATGTTCATGTTTATAGGAATTAGGATCCTTTGCTTGCTTGTCTCAATTTCTAAAAGAACTATAATTCAGCTAAAAGGCTCTCAAATTAGGAAGCAAAATTTCTTTAAATGTTCCACTATTGTGCTTTAGATATCAAATTATGCAAGTTTATAACAGGACTTTTATTCCTTAATTAATTTTACTAGAAAGAATTTAAAACGCTGCTAAAATTACAACCTATAATACTTTTATTATTCATAAGTCCAGATTCATACATACTAGACAAGGTCTACCTTTCACCCATATTTGATAGCTGATGCCCTGATAGTTTCAACTGAAAAGGTATATTCCATAACACAAAAGTATCTGATAAAGTCTCTCAGCTCAACGTGACAAAAGGGAAAAGGTTTAAAAAGAAAATTAGGGGGAAAGTGTCATGATACTGATATAAATGGGGGGAAATGAAACCCATTCTGCTTTCTCTTGAAAACACCATTTAATTTAGTGCTCATGAAAACACTCACCCTAAGTCTCAAGTATGCCTGAAGAAACATCCTATATAACTTCTAATAGATTCTTCTTGATTTCAAAGGTCTCCATCCCTAGGTAGAGTGTGTGTGTGTGTGTGTGTGTGTGTGTGTGTGCGCGCGCGCGCACGTGCGCACGCACACGCGCGTGTGCATTCCCATTTTTTTGTTTGGGGCATTTTAAAAGCATACACTAAAATCACATTTTCTCCTATCAACTAATTACACTAACTTGAGGAAACTGAGTTTTCTGTTACTTGTACCTGGAACCTATTGATATTACAAACCATCCACTATATAGAAGGAATTACAACACAAATTTTAAGAAGTGTGCACAAACTGTACACACACACGGGTTAAGTGCTTATGAAGCAATTTAAAGTTCTTTTTAGTAGACACACTATGTTAACAGGTATTAGGAATAAGAAATCTGCCGGAACCGGTTTGGCTCAGTGGATAGAGCGTCGGCCTGCGGACTGAAGGGTCCCAGGTTCGATTCCAGTCAGGGGCATGTGCCTGGGTTGTGGGCACATCCCCGGTGGGAGATGTGCAGGAGGCAGCTGATCGATGTTTCTCTCTCATCGATGTTTCTAACTCTCTATCTCTCTCCCTTCCTCTCTGTGAAAAATCAATAAAATATATTTTTTTAAAAAAAAGAGGAATAAGAAATCTTTTCTTTACATGATCCATGTAAAAATATTCCTAAACTTATAAAATAAAATGTGAAAAAGTTGCAAAGAATACTTACTATAAAAAATAAGATTACCAAAGGCTCAGGGGTGACGTGTCCCACTCACCAATCTGGATGAAAGCCTAACCAAAATTAGAGCCCTGACCTAGTTGCCAGAGACATAAGAAGAGTAGACTCCCCTTCCCAACCAAAGCACACAGCACTGGAAACAATGATGGGGTAGAACAGGGGCATATTCCTCCACCTGCCTGACAAACTGCTGAGAGGAGACAAAACCTCTCCTCACACTCCCTCTGACTCTATCCGAGAACAGACTAACTCCCATCAATATAAGTTGAACCCATGTTGTTGTTGTTTTTCAAAAAAAAAAAAAAATTCCTCAATTTCTTATATACAATATTCATATTTTAACCACAAAATCCATTCCATAATAATCCTTGCCAGGTAAATGCATTTTGATGCTGCCTGGCCCTTTGTTGTCTATACCTGCTTTGTGTTGAGTGCTCTCAGTTGCCAGAAGAGATGGCAAAAGAGGCTCACAGACAATGGACATCAGACCTCCCCACACCTGTCTCCAGATGGTCTCAGAGGATTAAGTCTCCATCAAGTGGATAGGCCTAAACATAGTGGCAGCCTCACCCAATTTCAAATAAAGTTTTGTTCCCTTTTTAATAGTTCTTAAATATACAACTTTCTTCAGAACACACAGCTGAAATCTTACCCTTCTTTGTGGGGGAAAGAACAGCAATGCCTACATATATTTTCAGCTAACACAAATATTTCTCAGCAAAGAAAAAAAAGGGGAAATGATTTTCTAAACTAAATCAAGAAGAGAACAATACCTCCTCCAAGTTTTTCTGTTTATTTCACTTATCTTCCATCCTAGGAAAATAACTTAATTCTACATAGGGCTTTTCCAATAAAGATATAGAAAACAGCATCTCGATCTGTAAAGAGCTTTGTAATGGTAATTCACATAGCAATCCAGAGAAAACTGGTTTGCTGATGGACAAACTGCAAATTGCCCCTAAATGTACTGGCCATACAACTCTAGTCTCTCATGATAATCTTTTAAGAATGTCTACATCAAACTGACCCCGCAAGCCTAAATGAAAAGATAGTGATGCCCATTAACCTGGCTACCCCAAGTAGCTGTGGCCCACCCTATACTCTCCCAGACCCTACAACTCTCTCCCAGTGCAATCAGTATGAAATAAACTGATGGCTAAAAACTAAAATTTCATGTTTCCAACTGGCAACCTACATCAACCCCAAAGGATGAAGAATCACTTAAGAGATTTCAGATGCTCTATGAAGAAATTCACTTTAACACTTACATCTTTAAGACTCTGCATACATTACAACACTGCATTAGTGATACAAGTTATAAAATATTTTCCATTCCTTTGGATTTTGCATATGAAGGTTTTGCATCAATCACTGCAGGTAGTTTGAGCAAGTTTTGTTTTTGTGTTTGTTTTTTTAAACATGCATTCAACTAGATATGATTTCAGAATACATTAATACTCCCTTTTCATCATTACAGTTAGCTAAAAAAAAATTGCCAGGCAGCCCCAAAACATGACTTGCTTTAAGACCAACCCATAGTTAGTTGGAGACTAATGGTGCTGAGATCTGCAAGGCTGGACCATAGTAGTATTTAGCTAAGTGTCGAGAGCATTAAGAAGAGAAAGTCCTGGTTGGAGGCACAAGGCCTGCAGCACCAGCTGTGGAATATCCAGGATGTGACTGCACAGCTCCATCCTCAAACCTGGGCAGGAGGGAGAAAGACACACAATCACAGAGCTCCTCTGGCACTGCTGCTATGAAAAGGAGGCATTTCAATTAGAGGAGGATGAAATCCAAAAAGGGCAGCAGAAAGAAAATGTTCCTGATACCCGTGGACCTCACAGAGGCTTCCAATTACAACTGGAATACTACTTATTTTGCAGGAGGCAGGTACAAGAAACATAGTATAGCAAGTACTCAATGGTTTCCTTCTTTTTTCTACTTTGTAGAGACCCAATATGAGCAAAAATTTAAACACTTGGATGAACAGTCAGGTAGCATTTTTCTCATTAGTGCTTAAATTATGGTAGACTTGCCATTCTCCACTGGTAAAAAAAATGCACTTTAGTCAAGAGCCAACCTAGGCTTCACCAGTCACTTACATTTGCAGGTGATCACCACTGAGGGGGCACGTAGCTGTAGGTGGGCGTTCCTGGACCCCGATAGGTGGGCACAGTGACTGGGTGGGGGGCGACAGGAGTTGGGGAGTGGGCAGTAAGCAGGGTACCTGCAAGAAAGAGGAGTGTGTGGCAGGTAGCACTGCCCACAGTCAAGGCTGTCCTTACATCATCACTACACAACTTTATGCTGCCTCTGACAAGGAGGAAGGTAAGGAAGAGGGAAAGGGCCTTGGACCTTGACTGCTGTCAGAACTCTGATTATATAAGAACTACTCAAAGATGTATAAACACAGAAAGCTCATAATGGTAATACATTTGTGGAAACCTTTATGTTTTCCTTTCATATAAACACACTCAATTATTTTTGTGGATCAGATGATAAAAGACAAAGTAAAAATATTATTCAGCCTTTAAAAGGAAGAAATCTGTCACATGTTACAACTCATATGAACCTTGAGAACATTATGCTAGGTGAAAAAAAACAGTCACAAAAAGACAAATACTGTATGATTCCACTTATTTGAAGTCCCTAGAGTAGTCATTGATAGAGGCAGAAAGAATGCTGGTGTCAGGGTTGGCGGGCAGGGGGGAAGAAAAGTTGTTTAATGGGAACAGCGCTTCAGTTTTGCAAGATAAAAAAAGTTCTGGAGGTGTTTCACAACAGTGTAAATATACTTAACACTACTGAACTGTACCCTTAAAAATTATTAATATGAAACAAATAAATGGAAGAGAGGGATTGAGGGAGATTCCAAACCATATAAGCTTCAGAGTACATTAAGCTAAATGTATTTTTCCCTAACCTGAAGAAAAGGCAGCGATTATCTGAGTCCATTTGCAGACAAGCACTACCTCAAAAATAACAGCCTTCACTCTCTTCACTCTCCTGTCTCCCTGCCCACACTCATCCCAGACCTGTCTTCCCTTCCATCTACCTGTCACAAACATGTACATGACAGAAAGTATAATCTCTTTTGCCTTCAAAGATAAGTATGGGAAAACCAAATAAAATAGAGACTAAGAAGAAACACCTTTCTCTCTGGCATGATTTTCTTAATTGAAGTAAAGTTTAGAAAACATAGAGGATACAATATATATATTTTTTAATCCCAGTCCTGGGCAACCAAGTGCATCGTGTGTACCTGGCCCCTGCCACAGAGGTGCCAGGACTCCAGGTAGATGTGTCCATCCTAGCCAGGGTTCGCATCTCTCAGTGGTTTATTTTCCTTGGGAAATAAAGTCAATGAATGCCAAAGGATTTCTACAAGTAGCTGTGATGTCAATTAACACAAGACTAGCTTTCCTAGACAGACAATTTGGCCTGCAAAGGAACCCATACTAAAAGGTCCAATCCCCCAGAATATAAAGTTGCCCTTCTGCTTTACAGAGGAGATCTGGTCACAGAGGAGATGCTCACAGAGGAGATCTGGTCACTCCTAGTTCCTACTGTCAAATGGCTCAACTCAGCAACAAAGTAGCCCTCTGAAATTCAGAGAGTGCCATCCAGTCATACTCTACCAGGAGGGTACTTGGTTCATGATTTATTACTCTAACCCCCACTCCTGTCTTGTCTTAACTGAAAGGAGGAGGAAAAAAGAAAAATATAATATGGTATTCCATCTCAAAAGAATATGTCCTTCCACACAATTCTAGAAATAAAATATCAAGGCCAGGGGTCAGAGTATTAGTGAGCTCTCCCTTCCCAGCTCTCCTGCCACCATAGAACAGGAAACCCAGAGTCGACTCACCTGCCGACATGGCCATAGTGGTCCCAGCCACCATACCCATGGTGACCCCGTTGCCTCTTGGAGGAGGGATGGGAGCAGGGTACACTGTCGCCGGCATGCCGTTGGGCTGCACCACTGTGGTGTGGTGGATGACGTGAGGGGGTGCTGCATACAGGTGCTGTGTGTAGAATGTGCCTTGCTGTGGGGAGGAAGAGCGACAACTTTAACAGGACTCTACACCCAGTGTGTAAGACCCCAGATGGGATCTACATATACAGTGCCCAAGAACAGTATCAAGAGCCTCACAGTGCACCCAAGGCCTACCTGTGCATATGGGCTTTGCTGGGGGTAGGCACTTCGCACAGGGTAGACAGCAGTCTGGTATGGGTTGGGGGAGGAGGAATATGGTGGCACCGCCCCACTGGTGGGGGAACAGGACACTTTATAAGGTGTGCCAGGAGTGTAACCTAAAACAAAGAAGCCCAATGAACTTTTCACAAATCCACATTTGCCAGACAAAAGGAAGGAACCAAGTATACAGTGATAAGCGACTCAGTTTTCCAGCCCTGACCAAACAACATATGACACCATTGTGGCCCCATATGAGCTCCACTAAGATCTGACTTCGTTACTTAATGTATAAGAATGTGTATGTAGGGTGGGAGTCACTTTGGAAGAAAGAATAAAAACAGAAGGAAAAAGTAATTCTGAAAGTACATTCACCCTGGCTGGCATGGCTCAGTAGTTGAGCATCTACCTATGAACCAGGAGGTCATGGTTTGATTCCTGGTCAGGGCATATGCCCGGGTTGTGGGCTCAATCCCTGGAGTGGGGTGTGCAGGAGGCGACCGATCAATGATTCTCTATCATCATTGATGTTTCTATCTCTCTCTCCCTGTCCCTTCCTCTCTGAAATAAAATAATAATTTTTTTTAAGTACACTCATAGGAAAAGGGAAAAAACACCTATCCTGATGGAATATAAATTGGTACAGCCTTCTTGGGGCATACTATGGCATTAGGTCCATAATTTCACTTATAAAAATTTGTTTTGAAGAAATAAGCATGGGCTGCCAGTCGAGGTGGCAATGTAGGTAAACTCAATATTGAAACCTCCCACAATAACAAGAATTACAACTAAACTACAGAACTATCACTCAGAATGCCTGATATCTAGCTAAACAGACAGGTGTCCTATAACTAAGGACATAAAGAAGAAGCTACATCAGACTGATATGAGGGATGAAGATGCTGAACAGGCTGGTCCCACACCCACATGGAGCAGTTACTAGGTGTACCGGTAAATAATGGTGGATTTTGTAATCAAAGAAAACACAATAATTTCAAGAGAAACATCAAAAGTGCTTTATTCAAAGTAATGTCCATTCACTAGCTACACATTTCCCCCATCTTTCAGGTAATTTGTGGATACCGTCCCAATAAAACTTTTCTTGTTTTGAAGCAAACCATTCAGAGACCCAATTTTCCAATTCTTTGTACGTTTTGAAGTGCTGCTCAGAAAGTGTGTGTGCCATCGATCAGAACAAATGGTAATCTGAAGGAGCAAGGTCTGGTGAACAGGGCAGGTGGGTTAATACTTCCTAGGCAAGATCTTTTAATGTGTCTTTAACTGGTTTTGAAGTGTGTGATGGTGCGTTATCAGGAAGCAAAATTACTTTGCCCTGTCTTCTGGCCCATTCTGATAGTTTCACGATCAAAGCATGGTTCAAATTGATTATTTGTTGTCGGTAGCAATCAGTATTAACGGTTTCACCTGGTTTTACAAGCTCATAATACACCACACCTTCCTGATCCCACCAAACGCAGAACATTGTCCTCTTTCTGAAGCGATTTGGCCTTGCAGTCGATGTTGATGGTTGACCTGGATCAACCCATAATTTTGTACATTTGGGATTCTCAAAATAAATCCACTTTTCATCACCAGTCACAATTCGATGCAAAAAAGACTTTCTTTCATGCCGTTGAAGCAACATTTTACTGATGACTTTTTGGTTTTCCATTTGTCTTTCGTTCAGTTGATGTGGCACCCATTTTCCTTCCTTTAAAATCTTTCCCATTGCTTGTAAATGATAGGAATTTGTTTGCTGAGCAACGTTTAATCTTTCTGCAAGTTGTTTTTGAGTTTGCCATGCATCTTCATCCAATAATGTTTGTAATTGTTGGTCTCCAAACTTTTTCGGTTGACCTGGACGTTCTTTGTCTTTCACATAGAAATCATCACTTATAAGGCATTTAAACCAGCGTTCTCAAGTAGTATCTTGAGATGGAGCATGTTCACCATAAGCTTCCTGAAGTATACAATAACTTTTTCTTCAAAATAAAGAATTAACACTTCCCACAAATGTTCTTTTTTTGGCATGAAATTCGACATTTTTAAGCATAAAAATATCTATGATGCTAACACCTTCAGCAAATTTGACATGAAGTTTTGAAGCTTGCTGTCAATACAACAAAATAGCATACATATCAAATCCCATATATATCACCATATGTGTAACTCCATCTATCGAAAAAAATCCGCATTATTAACTGGTACACCTAGTAAAAATCAGGAAAAATATCTCAACTGTGGAGCAAAGAGTCCTAGTGGTGGGAGAAGTCCCCATAATTTTTGACTGTGAAAACCTGCAAGAGTTGTAGCTGAGTGAGACAAAGGGCTCCTGAAGTCCCAGATGTTCCTCTTAAAGAGCCTGTGCAGGGACTTACTTGAACTCATGCAGTATGAGCTCCAGCGCTGGAGCAGAAGCTCAAAAAGTGCCAGGGACAAATGGGGAGGAACTCAATTGCCTGGCATTAAGGCAAGGGTTGGAGGGGCAGCTTTCCCCACAGAAAGAAGTGCTGGCAGAAGCCATTGTTTCTTTGCTGAGCCCTCCCACACAGCCCGCAGAAGGCCGTGATATCTGAATCTCCAACAACCTGGTGATTCCCTGCAACCCTGCCCCATCCAACTTGCTGGCCCACCCAAACCCTTCCCAGTGGCTTTTCCTTACAACTGCCTGTGTTAGCTCATGCAGCAGATTTTCCTAAAATCTCTCAAACAAGCACCATCTGGCCTCTGTGTACCCCATACCTCTTCTAAGTGGCCCCAGACCTGACACAAGTAGCAGCCTAACTTGGTTTGCAGCTTGGCCTATCTTGGGCACCTCCAAGGCCAGCACAAATAGCAACCATCTAAAGAATGCTTTGTAGCTCATGCCAGGTGGCCCTGGGGAGAGCACAAGCAGCAGTTGACCTTGGACTGCAACTATTAGGAGGCCCAAGAGCCAGCACACCAGGTGGAGAGCTTCAGACCACATCAAAGCACCACCAAACCACCTCCATGAGAGACATACTCGAGGGGTGGACTCAGAAGGTACCTAAGCCCCACTGAAGTGAGTTCTGCTCCATGGGGTCGGCCCTTGCACAGCAGATCCTCTAGTGGTCCCAGCCAGTCCTCACAGCTGATCAAGAAGGTGCACACAACCCACATAAGGAGCACAGTCTGGAGTGCCCAGCTCGGATTACTGTAGAGACTGAGCCACTGGGCCCTAAAGACACCATCTACATAAGACCACTCTACCAAGACTAGAAGGCATACAGCAGCGGTTCTCAACCTGTGGGTCGTGACCCCTTTGGCAGTTGAACAACCCTTTCACAGGGGTCGCCTAAGACCATCCTGCATATCAGATATTTACATTATGATTCATAACAGTAGCAACATTACAGTTATGAAGTAGCAACGAAAATAATTTTATGGTTGGGTCACAACATGAGGAACTGTAATTAAAGGGTCAGAAAGTTGAGAACCACTGACAATCAGGCTCAACCTAATACACAGAAACAAACACAGGGAAGCGGCCGAAATAACAACACAAATGAAACATGTCCCAAATGAAAGAACAGAACAAAACTTCAGAAAAAGAGCTAAACAAAATTAAACCGAGCAATCTACCAAAAGCAAAGCTCAAAACACTGGTTATAAGGATACTCACTGAACATAAGGAAAATGTAGAAAAACTCAGTGAGAACTTCAATAAAGAGATAGGAAACATAAAAATGGAGATAGAAAACATAAAAAAGATCCAGTTAGAAATGAAGAATACACTAACTTAAATGAAGACTACATTAGAGGGAATCACAGTAGAGAATCAAATCAATGACTTGAAAGGTAAGAAAGAAGAAAACACCCCTCAGGACAACAAAACGAAAAAAATGAAGATAGTGTAAGGAGCTTCTGGAACAATTTCAAGCTTACCAACATTCATATCACGAGGGCACCAGAAGAAGAAGAGAGCAAGAAATTGAAAACCTGTTTGAAAAAAAATAATGACATGCCCTGACTGGTTGCTCAGTGGTTAGAGCATCGGCCCATGGACTGAAGGGTCCCAGGTTCAATTCTGGTCAAGGACACGTACCTTGGTTTGCAGGCTCGATCCCTGGCCCCAGTTGGGGCGTGTGTGGGAAGCAAGCAATCAATGTGTCTCTCTTACAGTGATGTTTCCCTCTGAGTGAAATAAGTCAGACAGAGAAAGACAAATACCAGGTGATTGTTGTCTCTCCCCCTCCCTTCCACTCTCTCTAAAAATAAATGGGGAAAAATATCCTTGGGTGAGGATTAACAAAAAAAAAACAAAAAAAAAATAATGACAAAAAACTTCTCTAACCTGGTGAAGGAAATAGACACAAAAGTCCAGGAAGCACAAAGTACCAAACAAGATGAACCCAAAGAGGCAAACACCAAGACACATCATAATTAAAATGCCAAAGTTTAAAGACAAAGAGAGAATATTAAAAGTAGCAAGAGAAAAGCAGTTAGTTATCTACAAGGGAGCTTCTATAAGACTGTCAGCTGATTTCTCAATATAAACTTTGCAGGCCAGAAAGGCTTGGCACAAAATATTCAAAGTGATGAAAAATCAAGGACCCACAAACAAAATTACTCTACCCAGCAAAGCTCCATTTAGAATCAAAGGGTAGATAAAGAGCTTCCCAGAAAAGAAAAAGCTAAAGAATTCATCACCACTTAATCAGCATTACAAAAAATGTTAAAAGTCTTCTTTAAGAAAATGAAATTTTTTAAAAGATAGAAAATATGAATAAAATGCCAATAAATACATATCTATCAACAATTATTTTAAATGCAAATGGATTAAAGTCTCCAATCAGAAGACATATGGCAGCTGAATGAATAACAACATAAGACCCTTAACATATGCTATCTACAAGAGACTTGTTTCAGATAGAAAGACACAGGCTAAAAGTAAAGGTATGCAAAAGATATTTCATGAAAATAGAAACAAACAAACAAAAAAGCTGGGGTAGCAATACTTATACCAGACAAAACAGACAAAGGCTATACCAAGAGACAACGAAGGACCCAGCAATTCTACTTCTGGATATTTATTCGAAGAAACCCAAAACATTAATTCAAAAAGGCATATATATCCGTATGTTCGATGCATCATTTA